TTGAACAATTATTTAAATATTGAACATTTTCTTCAAATTTTTGTTTATTCTCTTTTTTTGGTACCGGGGATAAACTCAGTACCTTGTGCTTGCAAGGCAGGCAGCAGCAACACTCAGCTAAATCCCTGGCCCTGTTCATTCTCTTTTTAAAAGAACTTTTAATAAGAAAACATAGTTTGCCTGTCTTGTCTTGTTGTATCAATTCTTGAAATTTTTGTGCAGGGCTCTGAAAACAAGCAGTTAGTGAAGGACTTCATGTGCGATTTTTTGTTTTGTTTTTTTGTACTCAGGATCTAACTCAGGACCTTGTGCTTGCAAGGCAGGTGCCATCACCACTGAGCTAAATCCCCGGCCCTGGATGTGAGATTTTTATAAGGAAAGAATGATTTCTAAAACAAAGTAGCACCAGGCATGGTGGTGCATGCCTGTAATCCCAGCACTTGGGTGGCTGAGGCAGGAGAATCACAAGTTGGAGACCAGTTTGGGCTACATAGTGTGAGTCCAAGGCCAGCCTAAATTAGTGACACAGTGTCTCAGAAATAAATAAAGTAGCTCTAGTCTAAACCATGAAAAATATTTTTTTAATTGAGATGGATAGTTTCCTGTATTACCAGGCTGATCTGGAACTACGTGGCACAAGCAATCCTCTTGCCTCAGCCTCCCCAGTAGCTAAAATTTCCACACCTCACATAAAAAGCACTTCTTGAGCCAGAAAATCAGTAGGCAGATATTTTTCTTCTTGTTTGGTAACAAGTTACCAAAGAAGGAATTTTATTGGCAAATAATCAATAATGTTAACATATAAATATATATAAGCTGTAACGTGTGTGTGTGTATATGTGTGTGTGTGTGTGTGTGTGTATGTATGTATGTATAATCCCCAGAGCTTCATTCATCCTAGGCAATCATGGCCACTGAACAGTATCCTCAGTTCTATTTGTATTTTTTTTTTCTTTTGCTCTTTTGAGACAGCATCTTGCTATGTAGTCTAGGCTGGCCTTAAACTGACCATGATCCTCCTGTCTCAGCCTCCAGAGCACTGGGATTACAGGTGTGCCCCAAAGTTAAGAAAATAGCCAGGTTCCTACTACCTTAAAGGTAAAACCCAATCTGCTAAGCATGGAGTCAGTCTTCAAATCTCTCCATCATCTCCACCCCAGTGCTCAGGCCACGCCCCCACGGTGGTCCCTGCCTGCAAAGCCGCCCTCCTCCTCCTCACAAATGCCTATGTGAGCTTTGGAACCCAGTTCAAAGGACCTTTCTGTAAAGCTTTTCCAATGCCTCCTGCTGCTGAGACCCAAAATCTTACTACTTCCCATTCTGTTCTCCTGTAGAATTTATGTCCACATCTCATAATACAATTGTTATCATCATTGCCCGATAGTAATGACTGTCTCGAGAGAAAACATGACTGTTTCTCCCCACCCCCACTTTTTCCCTCTATTTTGCTTCTTTTTCCCTTTTTTCTTTATCTTTGTGACACTGGGGATTGAATCCATGCATGCTAGGAAAGCATTTTACTACTGAGCTACAACCTCAGCCCTTTTTATTTTTATTTTTCTGGTACTAGTGACTGATCCTAGGGCCTTCACACTGAACTATATCCTCAGCCCTTATGTTATTTGTTTTTTTGGGGGGTGGGGGATTGATACCGGGGATCAAACTTGGGACCTTGCACTTGCAAGGCAAGTGGCAGCATCACTGAGCTAAATCCCCCACCCAGACCTTTTATTTTTTATTTTGAAATGGAATCTGGCTAAACTGCTAAATTGCCAGGCTGGGTTTGAACTTGCAATCTCTCGGCCTTGCCCTTTTGAGGAGGTTGGATTATAGGGAGGTAAAATCATGACAGTTTGTATGTTTTTTAATGGGAGGACAAGAAATGTCTGATGAAAGAATGAAGAAGTAGGGCCAAAGATTTAGCTCAGTGGTTCCACCACCTGCCTCGCAAGCACAAGGTCCCGAGTTCGATTCCTGGTAACCCACCCCCACCCAAAAAAAAAGGATGAGGACGTGAAACATCTGCTTGGTTTACAGGAGTCACCCTAATCTTCTTGAGGAAACAGACTTTTAAATGTGAATTACAAGTGAGAGGCGGCAGGGTCTGGAAGACAAAGGGTTACAGTGTGCAGCCCAGGGAGAGTGGGGACACAGCCACCTCTCCTGGCTCTTGCAACCAGTGAGTTCCACTTGGACCTGTTTGTCCTGTCCACCCATTTGGAAGTTTGCTTCCCTATCTACCCTACCCTTGTGGCAAGTTATTTCTAGGCTCCAAAGAAAACAGTATGGAATATCACACAATATCACATTAGAAATGAGGGAAATTCTGACATTAGTGAGCACGGATCATGTTTCAGTCATAGGACGGAGAAAGTCTTGATTAGTCGATGGGAGGTGAAGAAATGGTTTTCCTCAAAATACCTTTACATGAATGCTCTTCAAAGTGAAGCAGAGGGTCGGAGAGTTCAAGGCCAGCCTGGGCTCCGCAGTGAAACTGTCTCAGAAACAAACAGAAATAAACATCTTTGATTTGGGGATAGTCACTGGCTCACAAGAAGTTGGGAGGATGGTACGAGGAGGCCCTGTGTACCCTCACGAGCTTCCGCTGAACGTAGCAGCTGACGCAAGCAGCGGCAGCAGCGGGGCCTGCAAACCCGAAGACACAGAGGTACAATCGCAGGCCTCGCGGGCGCTAAGCTCTCATGAGCCTGGAGTTAGTGGCTTGGGTCCGAGCCTACAGCAGCCACGGCGGTGACCCACAGAAGTCCCCAGCTGGAAGAGCTCTCTGTGCCCGGGGACAGCTCGGGACAGAGTGCCTGCCCCGCGGCATGAGGCCCTGGGTTCCAATCCAGCACCACAAAAGGAAGAAAGAAGAGATTCTTCGGTTATCCCTTCGCAGGCTGACCCCTTCTCCTCTCCTCTCCCTCCACCTCTGGGGAGGGTTTTTTGAGATGGGGTCTCTCCATGTAATCCAGGCTGGTTTTGAGCTCGCTGGCCTCAAACCCAGAATCCTCCTGCCTCAGCCTCTTGAGTGTTGGGAGTACAGGTGTGTGACACAAAGCTTGGCCTGATTTCTAACAGTTTCTATTTATCGCTAATCTAAAAAAAGAAAGGACAGTTTCTCCCACTGATTCTAGAAGTCCGGCACCCTAAAGCTGATAGTGACGTGTCACTGGCGTATTTCCAACAAAACGTACATTGACTCTGTCTGATAGGCCGGGGGCGTAGGAACTGAACAAACATTTATCAGGTAAGGACACCCAGCCAGCAGGGAGTAGCACATGCCCTCACAGCTTCCTAAGAGAAGTGGGAAAACAATGTGCTATTTGTTCCAGAGGGCAGGTGTTCGCAAATTAATAAGCCTTGTAGAAGTGGAAAAATAGAAAAGCTGGCAGTTCACCTATTTGATTTTCCTATTTACAATTCTGTAAGCAGGAGATTAAAAAAAAAAAGTAGACTGAAAAGCCCACTAAAGTCTTTGACCCAGAACACCGAGACTGACCCCCGAGGCCGCCATTCCTGAAACCTCACAGGAACTCTCAGCACAGGAGGAGCAGGGACAGGCACAGGTGTGTGACCTGGTAGTAGGAACGGGGTTACAGATAGCTCTGATGCCTCTTTCCACCATTCAACACCCACGTTAGATCTGTGAACATCTTATATTCATTTTACGGAGGAGAAAACGAAGTTGTAAAGAATTTAAATGTTTTGCATAAGGTCACACAACGAGGGAGTGGAAGATGTAAGATTCCCACTCAGTCTTCACATTCATAAGGTCTGAGGTATGAAATCTATACACAGAACTGTTTTTGCGGGGAGTGGTTTGAGATAGGGTCTTGCTATGTAGTTCAGGCTGGCCTTGAACTCACTAAAAGCCCAGATTGGCCTTGCGCTCTCAGTGATCCTCCTGCCTCAGCCTCCTGTGTGCTGAGATTATAGGCATGTACTACTGCGCCTGGTTTATACACAGAACTTTTAAAAGCCTCTCAGGTCTGGGAGGCTGATGTAAGAGGATGCAAATTTGAGCCCAGCCTGGACAACTTGGTGATTTAACTATGGTCTCAAAATAAAAAATGAAAAGGGCAAAAAAGAAGACAGACCCCCTCTTCCTGCACTTCACTCCCCAACTCCCAGCCCGCCCCCCAGGTGACTATGATAACTGGCTCCTTGGATAGCATTGCTGGAAGGTACTGTATTCTCTTGACGCATTCTCCAGCTATTTGAATGGAGCGCAGATGCAGAAAGAACCGTTAGACTTATATAAGAAGTGCTACCTATCCTTTCACAAATGCATATTTATTCCTAAATTGTCTCAATGTTGCAAGCACTTCCACCAGAAAGGGGATTCAGGTACTGGGTGGTTGACGGCTTCTTTTTTTTTCTTTTTCTGTTTTGCACTGCTGGAGGGAATCAAACCCTGGGCCTCCACATGCTGGGCCAATGATCCGTCTTTGGTCCACATTCCCCACCTCACCTGCTTGTTGCTATAAAGCATAAGTTTAGTTACATCAAATATTGTGGTGGGTAGATGCTGGCATGGTTCAGTATTTAAGCTTATTTATTTACATGTTCTTTAAAATAAAAGAACTATTAGGCAGAAAGAAACTGGCTAGCTGGGCGTGGTGGCACACACCTGTAGTCCCAGCACTTGGGAGGCTGAGGCTGGAGGATCACCTCAAGTTCAAGGCCAGCCTGGGCCACTTAGTGAGTTCAAGGCCAGCCTGAACTACACAGTGAGACCTTGTCTCCAAAAAAAGAAAAAGAAAAAAAAAAAGAAAAGAAAAATAAAGATTATAATATAGAAGAAAAAAAAATATTCCTTTAACCTGAAGCTTTGACATATTTTGCAAAGCAGATATGTAATCAGACCTAATGAAATGTTCTTAATGAAAATGGAAAGACTGCCCTTATGAGGAATGAGTGTATGAATTAACATTTAAAAAGTGGGTTTGTATACATAGGCCAAAGAACACTAGCTGCATTTGTCATTTCATTCATAAGAATGAGGCTGGGAGATCTCTCGAATCACACTGGATTTCAACACACCAAGCCAAACAGCTAATAAACCGCCCACAAAGAATGAAACTATTTTGAACTCGTCATTCTGCAAATGCAAATTAGAATATTAAGACGCACAGTGCTGTGTAGAGTAGAAAGTACTGACCTCTCATTGAGAAGAGGAGGAGTCCCGCCTGGCCGGGCTGGGACGGCAGCCTGCTCCCGGGCACTTCCTGTTGTTACCACACCTCTGGATCGGTTATCAGAGCTCCCAGGAGCGCGGCCCGCAGTGGAGACTCTCAAGGCTCTGCGAGGTGACAGGCGGCGACACGCATCCCCCAGCTTCCATATGCAGAAGTTATACCTACTCATCAGCCTCACGTGCCTGGCGAGGTCAGGTAGGGTCTCTGTTGCAAGGTTTTCTTAAATACTGCAAGAAATTAGCAATATTATCGTTTGGTGTTCATCATCCTATGTCCTTCAGTGCATTTTTCATGGCCATTTTTAAGGAAGAAATGGATGGTTAAATGAACTTTCTCATCTTGAAATTTTTTTCCCTCAATAATAATATCTTTGAATCAACTTTTTCTTGTGTACAAAAGTTAAATATGCTGATCCATCTAGGATAGTTGTACTTTCTTTCATTGTTAAAAAGTTCTGTGCCTTTTTGCTTCTATGAATTGATATCACTTATCTGAAATTCTAAATTTACATTAGTTATAATTTTTATTTTTTATTTTATTTATTTTGGGTTTCTCGAGACAGAGTCTTACTGTGTAGCCCAGGCTGGCCTCAAACTCACATTGATCCTCCTCCTGCCTCAGCCTCCCAAGAAGTGAAGTTACAGGATCATTATGCCTGTATGGAATTTTTTTTTTTAGGTTTTCTTTTGTTTTTTTGTAGAGTTTGGGATCAAATCTAGTGCCTAGAGCCAGGCGTGGTGGTGCACACCTGTAATCCCAGTTCTGGGGAGGCTGAGGCAGGAGGATTGCTGTGAGTTGGAGACCAGCCTGGGCTACAAAGTGAGTTCCAGAGCAGTCTCAACTACACACTGAGACCCTGTCTCAAAAAACAAACAAACAAACAAAAAAACCCCACCAACAACAAAAAAACAAATCTAGTGCCTAGAACATGCTAGACAAATGCTGTACCACTGATCTACACTCCCCAGCCTTTATTATCTGGAAATTAAAAATTTTATTTCATGCCCAGCCAATATAAAGAGGGTTTTTATATCTTCATACATTAACATTAAGGGCATATATTTAAATTGTTCTTGTAAATGCCCATACTTTTATATACATCAACTCCTTATACTAATGATCAGCATACTGATAATTTGGAAAGTATCGATCATAATGAAGAAATCAAAATTAAAACACGAATACACAGTAAGGCCACAAAAAGAAAGTGAAATGCTGAAGGGAAAAAAAAAACAAAACCTCTCAAGGCTCCTCAGCCTCTTTAGGGGCCCTATTCTTTTTCACATAGCTCGTGGTAATGAAAATTTGTATAATGTTTTGGGGTACCAAAGATTGAACCCCAGGTCTTACACATGCTAGGCAAGCACTGAGCTCCAAGCCTGGTGCTTTTTAAAATTTTATTTTGAGACAGAGCCTCACTAAGCTGCCCAGGATGGCCTGGTACTTGAAATTTCAGCCTCCTGAACAGCTGGCAACACAGGTGTGTGCCACTGTGCCCTGTGAGATTGGTGTAATTTTTGAAGGGCAAGAGGGAATATGTTATATATTAAGACCCACAAAAATGTTCATGACCCTTGAGCTCATAAAGCCATGGCCGAGAAGTTACTCTAAAGAAATCTCCTTTAACAGGAAAACAGCAATGCGCCGTCTGCCTAGCAAGCAGCAAGGCTGTGGGTTTAGTCCCTGATACAAAAAAAGAAAAAAGTTAAAAAGTAGCTTTGAAAATAATTCTGATGCTGTGCCGAAATGTGCAGACGTACTTCTAAAATAGTACCAAGTAGGGGAAATTAGAACTCAACTTTGTAAACTGCAATTACAACTTTGTTAAAGTCATACAGGTAAATGAGTGAATAAAAAGTAGAAGAATGGAAATTTTAATTATATTAGGATTTCAAATCTATATGGTTTCCTTAATACATGCTTTTGAGGTTTTTGATAAGTTAATTATTCTAACTATGATTTTTTAACTGAGAAAGCAACATTTTAAAGTGTACGCCCATGCTCTTTTGTTGTGGTACTGGGGATTGAACCCAGGGTTCTACACTGAGCTACATCCCCAAAGATCTAGACCTAGATCTAGATCTAAATAGATATCTCAAGTGATCTCAAACTTGGGATCCTCCTGCCTCAGCCTTTTGCATAGCTGGGATTTTAGGCATGAACCACTGTGCCTGGCCAAAGTGCATGCTGTTTTTCATTTTTAAATTTAAAAATTGGACATAACTTCACAGATATCTTTTGTTTTTTGTACCGAGGACTTTGAGCTTGCCAGCAACACTGAGCTAAATCCCTGGCCCATTTTACTATCGTCTTAAGGGAGGACCCTAACACAAAAACCTGGTGATGGTCTGTGGGTACTTTCTTCCAGTATCCTATCGTATATCTCTCTGCAAAACTTGAATAAGGGCAACCTAATTTTCTTTGATCTGCCTTTTAACTTCTGGTCTTCAGATAAGTAAAATCTTTTTTCAGTGACGTTAGGAAACAGACTCTGCTACATGATAAAATCTAAGTAGACTGAGATAAATAACAATACATTTTAGTTAGGAGAAGAAAAAAGAAATTATAGCCAGCAGTCAGCTAAATTTAAATTTCTCTGTATATACACAGCCCTGAACATGGGATTTTTTTCACTTGTTATTATTAATTTATTTTATTAAAAAAATTTTTTTTGAGACAGGGTTTCACTGTAGTTCAGGCTGGCTTTGAACTCACTATGTAGCCCAGGCTCTGCTCAAACTTGCAGTGATCCTCCCGCCTCATTCTCCTGGGTGCTGGGATCCAGGCGAGCACCACCATACCCAGCTGATAGCAAAAATTATTAATCACAAATGCTTTGTCTTTTTATTTCTTTCTTCTTTGTCTTGCAGTCCAAAAATGGGCAAGCATTAAGATGGGATTCTTGTTCTGGGACCTTTGTTTTGTCGTTCTAGTCTTTGGGAAGTCACTTTAGGAATGTTTTCCCTGATCTTACCAGGAACAAAGCAATCCTTGCAAAGTCTGAAGTATCGCTAAAATCACCTGGGGCTGTTGTAGAAAATTCTCCACCCTTCAAGATCAAAATGGGTTCTGGGACAAATTCCCTAGGATCTGCATTTTTAACAGGCCCTCAAGCCTATTTTTTTTTTTTAAATCTATGGGTTGTCTGAGGGACACATTGATGAATATTGTTGTAAATTAAGGCTGTTTATTTTAAGCTTTTTTTTTTTTTTTTTTTTTTTTTTTTTTTTTTGGTATCAGGGATCCAATCAGCACCTTGTACTTGTGAGGCAGGTGCAGTGCCACTGAACTAAATCCCTGCCCAAGCATTTTTGAAAGTTACTTTGCTATGGTATCATGGTCTATGACTGTGACAATGGTGTAAAGCTATGTAGCTATTTTCTCAGAGAAAAGAGATTATAGTAGTTTTTCTTTATCCTTGGGGAAATAATGTTCCAAGTCTTTTCAGGACTGATTGAAAGCCTGCATAGAACCAAATCCTATGAGTATACTTGTATACAATATGTTTTCCTGCACACACACGCCTATGATAAAGTTTAACTTACAGATTAGGTGCAGCAAGAGATTAACCACAGTTACAAAACAGAATAATCATAGCAATATATTATAACAAAAGTTAGATGAATATGGCCTCTCAGAACGTCTCACTGTATTTTTTGGACCACGGCTAAACACGAGTAGCTGAAACTGTGGATGAGGGACCTGGTCAAGCCCCAAACAGAGAGAATTATTTCCTCAGATATCAAAAATCCCCTCAATTATAACTACGCGTTTGCGTGTCTGAGGCACCTTTGTCTTACAAGGAGGCAGAGGAGAGTGAGTGGGTGTGAAGTTGAATGTGGGGGTGTGGCTCAGCTTTTCAGGCCAAAACAAAACAAAAAATCCAAATTGAATTACTTTTCCGATTTAAAATGTTGAATAGGATTTTGGGTCTGGGCTTGTCTCTTAGCAGTAGAGTGCTTCTAGCATTGCATAAGGCCCTAGGGTTCAAGCCCTAGCACCAGACCAAGTAAATAAATAAATAGGTGCTCAACTCACTTTCTGATACCTCCAAGGAGACGTTTTGGGCCTAAAAATATAAAATTTCTTTAGACTTTTATTTCACAGATTTTGTTTACTAGAACCATTTTGGTTTATATCCCTGCTACTAATGTCGGTTCCAGAGTATGCAGCATATTTAAAAATGTCTCCCTTGATTTTTTTTTTTTAAAGATAGGGTTTCAGTAGTAGTCCAGGCTGGCCTTGAACTCACTATGTAGCCGAGGCTGGCCTCGAACTCCTGGTGATCCTCCTGCCTCAGCCTCCTGAATGCTGGGATTACAGGTGTGCACCACCAGCCCAGCTTTCCCTTGATCTTTTGTTTTGTTGTTGTTCCTGGTACCAGGTTGAACTCAGGACCTTGCGCTTGCCAGGCAGGTGCGGCACCGCTAAACTGCATCCCTGGCCCCTTTCCCTTGATCTTGATCGAAATCTTAATAAATACTTTCAGGCAGCATCACTGAGTTTTTAAGCCTGACCCTGGGCCACTTCTCTAAAGAAGTCATTAGTGCACATCCGTGTCTCTCTTGGGAGTGCAGAAACAGTAGCTTGAGCCCAAAACTTGAAATAAGAAAGAAGCCGAGGCAAGGCCACGCCTGCTTGACTACCTGACTGGACCAGGGTCAAGTCCAGTGGGTTTCATGCCAGCTACTTGGGATGGGAGGACTGTGGGGGCGGAAGGTCTCCCATGGGGCTGAGGTAAACTGACACCTTCCTTGTCCCCCACGAGCCAATCAGCCCCACCACCTTCAATTGACTACTGAGTCATCCATTCTCCCCACACTCACACTCAGAGGGCCGAATCAGAGCATTATTTCTTCCTTGATTTTGGCTTCTCGTTTCATAAATACCTCTTTGTGTGTGGCCAGGAGACTCATGCCCAGTACTGGGGATTGAACCCAGGATCCAATATCACTGAGCTGTCACCTCAACCCTCTTTTTTTTTAAATTTGGAGACAAGCTCTCCCTAAATTGCCCAGGCTGGCCTCAGATATGCCCTCCTCCTGCCTCAGCCTGTTTATCTCAGCCCGTTTTTCTCTGGCAATGACAAAACAGAATGGCAGCTCTGCGCAGTCATGTTGAAGGGCAGGACTGGCTAATCTTGCACAGGAACAGACTGACCAAGGCGGGGGGCTTTATTTAGCCCACAGTGGTAG